GCTGCTGCGCCGGTGGCGTGGGAGAGGCAGGGAGCTGGGCCGGGGTGATGTGGGCCCCACCCAGGGCTGTGCGTCAGGGCCCAGTGAGCAGCAGAGGGCAAGCAGCACTGGCCTTCGGGCCTGAGAGGTCCTCAGAGCCTGCCGCACTGCACTCCGGGGGTTCAGGGGGCCTGCCCCAGCTGGACACTTCTGGCCCTCTGACCTGGGAGCACGTGAAGATGAACTCGGGGTTCCGCTCCATGAGCTGCACGGCTGTCACCCAGCTCCGGGCACACTTCCGCACGGTCTCCTTGAACGGCCAAAGCCAAGCTAGATGGGAAGGGCAGAGAGAGTGGCAAGGTCCCTTCCCCACCCAGCAGCCCGACCTGGCCCAACCTGGGCCTCTGCAGGGTCATGCAGCCCCTCCTCCACCACAGGCCCTGTGCCCCCCAAACCCTGGGGCTTGCCTCCTGAGCTGTCACCTCCCATCACTCCTGCTGCATGGGAGGAAGGCAGAGGGCTGTGAAGTCGACTTTGCAGGTCAGGAAATGGAAGCCCAGGCCCTACAGCAGCCCCAGCCTGGGGCCTAGACATCTCCGAGAGGCCCTGTAAGAGCAGGAGCAGCCTGCCCTGCGCTCTGAACCAGGCCCGGCTCCCAGGACAGACCTGTCCAGCCAGCTGGCTTGCAGGAGCCTTCCTGACCTCGGCTTTGATTTCTTTCCTACCGGCTCAGAACCCCCGCGCCCTACCCTGCATCTTGCCACAGCAGACAAAGCCCTTGTTCTGTGACTCGAAAACCTTAGCTGCATCAGAGCTTGTTGACAACATAGATTTCTCATAAGCCTCACAGACAGTGCACACTCAGCAGGTTCAAAACTGAACTCCTGACCTTCCCCATGAAACCTGTTCCCTGTGCTCCAGCCCCCATCTCAGTTCATTCCACATCACCCCTCTCTGAGGACTTGGGCACCCTATCACTTCCTCCAGAAAGCCTCCATGGAATCCCCCTCTGCCAGCTGGGTTAAGTACCTCTTCTGGGCCCCCGAGTCTGCTATATTTCCTGCCATAATGCACTGAGCTCCCCTGGCTTTTAAAAAATTTGCTAGAGGAGGAGACCAACAGTTGGCATAATGGTTATGTCACTGGACTCCCATGTATTCGACCACGGTTTGAGTCCTGGATCCAGTGGCTTAAGCTCATGCTGGGTGCGTGTGTATGTGTGCCCAAGATTCCAAGAGGAGAATGGAGAAGGGATTGCGGCGTGGCCAACTGCGTTCTGTCTGTCTGTCTGGCGAGTGCATGCGCTCTATAGCAAAAACCTCTCAGAAAAAAAAAAAAAAAAAAAAAAAAAGCTAGAGGGCGACCAGCAGATGGCGCAATAGTTACATCACTGGACTCTCACAGTCAACTATGGTTCGAGTTCCAGACCTGGTGGCTTAAAACTCCTGTCGGATGTGTGTGCGTGTATGCCCAAAATCCCAAGAGGAGAAAGGAGAGGGGATTGCGGTATGGTCATACCCCAGGAGCGGTTTCTCATTTTCTGTCTCTCTGTCTCTGGTGAACGTGTACACCCTACAGCAAAAATCTCTCAAAAAATTAAAAAATTTGCTAGAGGGTGCATGCATACATTCATGAGAGACACACAGAAGAGAGGAGAGGAGAAAGTGCCCCCCAGTGGGGTGGGTTGCAGTACAATTCTCTTCTCCCTCTACTTCATACAGTAAGGACTTAGTTTGTATGTACGTGTGCATGCACACACACACACCGGTACGTTTCGACTCAGAGCCACTCGAGCCACAGCTACCATGCGGGATACGGCTCTCCACATGCAGCACTTAGCTGCTGGTGCTTGGGACAGCCCACTAGGGGAGGCTACTGGCTGTGCCAGCCTCTACACCCCTACTTTCCAGTGTCTTGCATGGGCACTCCTACAGCTTCAGCTTTTGTTGCAAGGATCCATGGAGCCACAGCTAACTGAGCTCAGAGTCCAGCCCCCCTGCCCCAGTTTGCAGATGGGGAGACCTGAGGCCCAAGAGGGGTAAGACTTCGCTGGGGACAATGGTGCTGTTAGGGTCCAGCCAGGGCTCCCAGGCACTCCTACCTCCCAGCCACCCGACCAACTGCCACCCTACCTGTATCAATGTGGCAGTGCCCCATGGCATGGATGGTGTGTTGGCTTTCCCCGCCACGTTGGCCAAAGAACCTGGAGGCCAGGGCCCGGGCCGCTGGGAAGGTCTCAGGCCGGGCAGGATCGCACACGTTCACCATCTGGTTGGCTGTGTACAGGGCCTGGAAGCTGCGCTGGTTGTCCTGCCCGAGGCCCTGCAGCAGGGTGCTCTTTAATCCCTGCCTCGAACACGGCCTCCGGTTTCGGGCCGAGGCCCTGGCTCACCTCTCTGCTCTGGTCGGATTCCCCCATCTCCAGCCCTCTGCTCCTGCTACACGGTCTCCCTCCTGCCTCGACAGAGGGATCCCTTCACTCACGCAGAGAACCCTAACTACCAGGCCCACAAAATGACCTGCCTGGAGTAGGGCTCCAGACGGCAATGGGGGCTACGGGTGACAAGTACCTTGGCCACGCCCAGCAGCAGCTCCAGATCCACCAGGAGCTTGTGGACATCCTGGTGGAAGATGGCCAGCTCAGCCCGGCTCAGCCGGAACATCTTCTCAGGGTCCGGGGCGGCGATCATGTTCCCCTTCCCGGCCCCCAGGAGCCCATTGCAGGCCACTTCCACGTAGAGGGTCAGGCTAGAAACAACAGAGGAGCCTCGCGCCCAGGACGGACCGGTGGGCTCTGAGGTTCGGGGAGGGGCTCCCAGGATGCACTACACAGAGGACCCTGCGGTGTGTTGGTGTGTATGCAGGAGGGCCGTGTGCAAACACTAGGCAAACCCATGTCCCTCTGAGGAGTGCCTGGCTTGGGTCGGCAGAACGCGCACCCAACCTAGAGCCCTGTGACTCACGCTGCCGCCCGGTCTGGAGCTGCAGAGCTGTCTGTACAGCCTGCTGGCCTCGGGGCCCTGTGGTGTACTGGCAACAGGCTTGGAGCTCCCAGGCCAGCCTTCCAGACCCAAGAGCCCATGTCCATGCAGCCACGGGAGCGGGTGCTGTTCCACTCAGCCCACAGAGCAAACGCAGCTTCCTGGGGAGGACCCCAGCCTTGACCTCCGCTGCCCCTTGCCTAGCCCACAACACGCCCCCATTGATTCTATCCTTTGAGTCCTCACAGTTTTGCAGGTGTGTGAATGTCTCCCTTTGTCAGAGAAGTACCTGGCTCACCACCACAGTCTGCAAGCCCCTGAAATGGTGTCCAGGAAAGATAAGATACTATAATGTCTAAGAGGCATTTTTAGTGCATTCACGGAATGCCAATGTTATAATATGAAATGTGATAAGATGCTAGATGTTGAATAAACACAGTCTCAACTAATAAAAATTATGCTCGAGAGATACACTGAGAGCACGACCGCTAAGATGTTAATAACCGTCATCTCTTGGAAGTGGGATAAGTTAGTTACTCCTTGGGTTTCTGTGTTTACAAGAAGTCAAACATTACTTTTACAGTCAAGGAAAAAAACCATGCTTTGTAACAACAATCCATGAGATCTGAGGACAGCAGTACTGGGACGGTTCTGGCTGGCCCCTCCTGGCCTGCTGGGCACAGGGACTCACCTCCGAGGGTCCCCTTCCCCCAGCCTGTCAGTCAGGACGTAGCTGGTCTTCTCACCCTCTTTGGTCAAACCCTGGCAGGGAGTGGAGTGAGAGGTCAGGACCTGAGGTCCGACAGCTCAGTGAAGGGTAAACTGAGGGCGGCCAGGCCCCTCCACTCAGCCTCCCCAGGCAGAGCCGAGGCTGACAAATTAGGGACCTTCAGTAGCAGGTGCCCCACCTTCCCCAGCAGCCACCACCATGATCACCAAACAGAACAGTGGACAAGCACATTGTCTTACGGGGAGGGTCCTGGGCAGGGGTTAGGAGGCCAGGCTGTGGCTTCTGGTGGCCTCTCCACCGTCAAATAAACACATTTCCCTGCCACAGCACAGGGACTTGTGAGCACAGCCCGGCCCAGAATGGACACCAGGAGACATCAGCTGGGCGGTGAAGGGCCGAGGGAAGGGCTCTGTCGTATGAAGGACAGGGGTCCTAATGCCACGCCGAGACTTAGTCCAGTTTGGAGTGGAAGCTCTGTGAACCTGAGTCACCTAAGCTGCACCTCAGTTTCTTCATCTGTACACGGCAGAGACACCCCCCCCCCCCAGGAAACCAAGGAT